CCGTGCCCGTCCCGGTGTCCGTGCCCATCCCGGTGCCCGTGCCTGTGCCCGTGCCCGTGCTCGTCCCGGTGTCCGTGCCCATCCCGGTGCTCGTACCCGTGCCCGCCCGGTGCCCGTGCCCGTGTACGTTCTTTCTCGTCTGTCACGTTACTAGCGCCACACCTGGACACCCGACCGCCCTCCACAAGAGCGTAAGGCCACACAGCGCCGCCGCCGCCGCGCGCCCACCTGCAGCGGCTCAGCGGCGGCCGGAGCCGCGGGCACCGCCCCGCCGGTCGCCGGCCGCCCACCAGGCAGGCGGCACCGCCCGCGCGTTGCACGCCGCAGCGCGCCGGTTAGGGAAAACTGCGGCAGCGCGGCGACGCCTGCCCGCAGGCCCACCGATCGGCGGACGCCTGCTCGCAGGCCCACCGATCGGCGGACGCCTGCTCGCAGGCCCACCGGTCGGCGGACGACTGCCCGCAGGCCCACCGATCGGCGGACGCCTGCTCGCAGGCCCACCGGTCGGCGGACGCCTGCTCGCAGGCCCACCGATCGGCGGACGCCTGCTCGCAGGCCCACCGATCGGCGGACGCCTGCTCGCAGGCCCACCGATCGGCGCGGATACCGGCCGTGGGAACCGCCGGCGCCCGGCAAAAACAGGCGGCGGCCGGTCCGGGTGCGAGCCGGGCACGGAGGCCGACCGGGCCGCCGGCGGGTCGCCCGAACCCGCCGGCGCGCTGGCCGACGCGGCTCGAGTCCCGCCGTCCGGTCAGCCGGCGAGAACATGTCGCGCTGCAGTGCAATGTGCGTTCCCACGTCCTGGCCGCCATGGGCTGTTCGAGAATGGCGTTCGGGCGGCAGGCAGCCAGCCGGTCGGCCGACGGCCGGGGAGTCACGCCATGTGACCTGGCCGACGGGCGAGAAGTCACGCCACGTGACCTGCCCGCTGGTCAGGACCCTGACCCTGCCACCCTGCGGCCCGGCGCACCTCAGGCTCGTCCAACATGTGAACTGCATCGACCCCACAGCGGACCATGAGGCTCATGCGAACGGCATAGCACTACCGAAGTGCGTCGATGCAGGGCGGTCATCACATTCTAACCCTTATCGCAACCGCAATCCTGCGTCGCGATGTAACTTGCAGGCGCGCGACGGCACACACGCGAGGGTCACGACCGTCGCCAAGCCGCCAAAACAGCTCCAGTTCCAGGCCACTGGCAGCATGCATGCGTTGAAATGCAAAATGCAATGAACTGCCGCTTCCGACTTGACTTCACTGCATAGCCTGTTGCAAGCACGCTAAACCGGCGACTGCGGGCCGCACACGTGTGCAGACAGCACAATTTCGCTTCACTGACACAGAGCAGGTCGTCTGGATGTCCGGTCAGGGCCGACCGACGGACAGAGCCCGTGGGACAGAAGTTACGCGGGACCAGCCCCCTACCCCTTCTCCATCGAACTGCGCGGCGGTCACCGCTGCTGACGCGCGCGCCGCGCGCCAGCAGCGTCCGCGCCCACGTGACAGATCAGCCCACAACGCACGACTGATCAGCGCCAGCGCACACCGCACGACTGATCAGCGCCAGCGCACGACTGATCAGCCCACAACGCACGACTGATCAGCGCCAGCGCACACCGCACGACTGATCAGCGCCAGCGCACGACTGATCAGCCCACAACGCACGACTGATCAGCACCAGCGCACACCGCACGACTGATCAGCGCCAGCGCACGACTGATCAGCCCATCACGCACGACTGATCAGCGCCAGCGAACACCGCACGACTGATCAGCGCACATCGCACCGCTGATCAGCGTACATCGCACCACTGATCAGCACCAGCGCACATCGCACCACTGATCAGCGCACACCGCACGACTGATCAGCGCACACCGCACGACTGATCAGCGCACATCGCACGACTGATAACACGCACCGCACGACTGTTCAGCGCACATCGCACGACTGATTAGCGCGCACCGCGCGACTGACCACCATACATCGCACGACTAGTCCGCGCAGTCGCGACGCGCGATCGACCGGCTCCGACTGCGCGACTGATCAGTGACTCAATGTGCGACTGGACAATGCGCATTTCACGCTCAATCGGCGCACGCTGCGCACCGGCGCCGAAAACGCGAGATGCGGGGCGCCCGCGGCGCGCCGAACACGCCCGCCCACACCCGACCGATACTCAGGCCCGCTCCCCCTCCAGGGAGGTGCCTGACGACACAGGCTCCGCCCAGCAGGCGTGAGGCGTGGAGTTTGGTGACGGACTCATAGTTACCGTGACGTGCTCTGGAGCAGGCCAGGTTTATTCGCCACAAGCCGGCCTGATGACATATGCATAAGTAAGAAGGGGCAAAATCCCACGGGTCGCTCGCACGCCACGCCGAGCGGACCGGCTCCATACCCTGCTGACGCATGACCTCCACGAGGACCGACGGTGCCTCTGCTGTCGTGACTGACCCAATACCGGTCTGCTGTGCGCGAGGACAGCATCGGCGCCGTCAGGTAGTTATGCTCGGCTGAGGCCGGGCTCATCTGAGAGCCATCCTCCCATCACCGCTTGATGGCCGGCGGCGGTCGTCAGACATGGGCATCACCAGCCCCGCGAGTCCCCTGCCTTCTGAACACAGGCTAGTGCCGACGCTCCCCCCGCGCGAGGGCGAGGCTGTCAGTCGCCAACCGTCTCCGAAACTACTGGCGAGCAGACACCGGCGCGCTGAAACTCGGTTAGTTTCACACGCACCCCTTACGTTTTTAGAGAACGAAAACTACATTCGGTTTGGGCATCACACGCGTTGTGCTGAGGAGAGGGTGGAATGTCACGCTAAGCGATTTGCCGGAACTGGAGCTTATTTGCCGTTTGCATGAGCAGCAATGTTAACTTACTGCACGTCAAATGCACAAAAGACCGTCAGTCACACGTGAAAAATTGATGTTCTTTCCAAAGGCATGATAGGATATATGACCAAGCCGACGTTAACAAACACACGGACCCAACCGATCAGAAGCGTTGTTTATCTTTCTGCGACAGAGGCCAAACTACCCGGTATTTTGTTCTGAAGAATACATATGGACGAGCCTGGGAGGTCACCGGTAAGGTGAAGGAGCCAATAGCGCCGAGCCGGGCCGAGCCGGGCCCAGCCAACCCCACGTCCACGCCCGCAGGACTTCGTGACCCCGAGCGCCCAGAGTCGTCCCTTACTGCTCATCCCAAACCCTGTCCTGAACGCATGACCTTGAGAGACGACAGCCCTGTCCTGTACTCCTAACCTCAAGCCCTGTCTCGTACTCCTGACCTCGAGCCCTGTCCCGTGTTCCTGACCTCGAGCCATGCTCCGTGCTCCTGACTTCGAGCTCTGCCCTTGCTCCTGACCTCGAGCCGCGTCTATGCCCCTGACCCAGACCCCTCCGAGCGCCTGACACAGGGCGCCCCGAGCCCGAGCTCGTCAGGCATCCAGCCCGACAGCCGGCGGCCCATTCACCTGCCGCCCGACTCGTACCGCCGCCGCAAAATCCATAGTGTTGTGGCGACCGGGCCGGTTGGCCGCGTCGCAGGTCAGCCTGTGAACTTCAGCCGGGCCGCCGGGTGCGCCGTCGCTCCGGAGCGACGCCGTCAAAACGGAGCCGCTCAAATGGTCGCCGTCCGCAGCGGCACCGACCGCACGCGTGCACGGCGGCAGAGGCGAACGCGCCGCGCCACACCGCCGCCGATACGGGGTCGGCCGCCGTGGCACGAAGCGGCGCGGCCGAGCGCGTGCCTCAGTCTGGCCGACACAGTGCACACCTTGCTGGACGGTGTGAGAGGACGCAAGGATAAGGCGCCAGGAGATTGCGCAGCCCTCCAGGGCGGAGCGGGACGTGCTTAAGGGAGGCACGGGCCTGGCCGCTGGCGCACGTCACTGCCGCCGACAGCAACACCGCGGTCGAACCCGCGCGGCGGCGCCCGCCAGTCCCGCTCACTGCTTGTCTGTTACTCCTTTCTGTTTGTCGCTCGTTGTTTGAAAGCCGCTGGCGCGCGGTGCCATGCCCGCGGTCACGGGAGCGTCGCCGCCGCGCCCGCGCCCGCTGCGGCGTCAGGTTCGCCGCCACCGCCACGGGACGCTGCACTGACCGGATCCACACCAGGCATGACCCCCGCCCCCTCCCCCCCCCCCCCGCCGCCGAGCCGGTGGCCGGAGAAGCGCGCGGACATGCAAACTTCAGGGGACTTCAAACAGGGAGGGAATCATCACCTGACAATTCGAACGAGCCGTGTTGCCCGCGCGGGAGAGGCCGTACGCCCGACACTGCGGATCGAGCGCGTCGGCGCTGGCCCCGCTTCATCGCTGGACTGCGCTGAGCCGCCCCGTGGCATGTCGCGCCAGCAGCCGACCGCTGAGCGGGCTAGCGCGGGCCCCGCTTCACCGCTGGACTGCGCTGAGCCGACCCGCGGCATGTCGCGCCAGCAGCCGACCGCTGAGCGGGCTGGTGCGGGCCCCGCTTCACCGCTGGACTGCGCTGAGCCGACCCGTGGCATGTCGCGCCGGCAGCCGACCGCTGAGCGGGCTGGTGCGGGCCCCGCTTCACCGCTGGACTGCGCTGAGCCGACCCGTGGCATGTCGCGCCGGCAGCCGACCGCTATTTCGAAGGCAAATCTGATCGATCCGACGCTGTGCGTCGACCGAGCGCAAAGCGTGAGGCTCATTTCGTGCGGTCGCGGATAGCTGTAATTACGCGACCAACTGCGTGAATGAAATATTCCATCAACTCGTCATGAAGGGCGGTGGACTGAGCCGTCAGCACGCGACACACACGCACACGCGCTGAGTAGCGCTCAGCAGGGATTCGATGCCAATAATCTACAGCAATGCGTTACCGTGCGCCCTGATATGATATATATATATATATATATATATATATATATATATATATATATATATATATATCATCATCATCATCATCATCATCATTTGCGTGACCTGGCGATCTGCTGGGCTGAACGCCGTCGCGTTCGTGGCCGCCGCCTCACCTGGTGGGCGAGTCCTCCGTCCAGGCGCGGCGCGGCTCCGGTCGGCTCGACTGCGCCGCCGTCACCCGGTGCTGGGTCGGCGTACCCAGCCGGTGACCCAGCAGCCGCTGGCGCTCCTCCGGCGTCAGCGTTGGCAGCGTCTGGTGCACACCGCCCCGCTGCGGGCCCGCTCTGAGGGGCAGGGAGAGGGGGCTCGGGTCAGCGTCTGGTACATGCCGCCCCGCTGCGGACCTCCTTTGAGGGTCGGGGAGAGTGGTCAGTACACGGCTACAAGCGAACAGCACAAACGGGCAGCCAATAATTGAGAGTGAAGTATGGACTACCACTTACACGGGTCGCAAATACCTAGCGAGGTAACACGCACACGCGTTTGTCCTTACCGTAAGCGACGCGAACCGGTCAGTGCGCACACTCCGTCCTAGTAAACTTAAAAGCCCTTGGCGGACAACACAAAGGGTGGAGCGTGACACAGGCGCCATAAACCATTTGGTCACCGTCCCCGGGCTCCCCGTTCAAGTAGAATGACACCCCGGGGTAACGACAGAGCCCCATGAGAAACAAGACCTACAGCACGGTAGTAAAAGCCGAACGTTCTAACAACGGCCTCAAGCGATCGATGCAGCGTCAACAGCGCCCAGGTTCTCGACTGGAACCAACCGGCCCCGGGAAGGTCGGTGTGAAGTGCACAAACACGCCCGTCATGTCGACGACGGCGGCGACACGGCTGGTAGAGACGCTGCTCTTGCTCGCCCCCGTCCGTGGCCGGCAGCCGCCGTATGACGACAACGCAGGCCTGCGGCAGAGACGCGCCGCTCGCCTCCCCACCCACCGCCCTCTAAAAACCGCCGCCCGCAACCCGCGGACCGTCCGGCGGCGCTGCGGCACCACTACAACCCGCGGGCCGTCCGGCGGCGCTGCAGTACCAGTACAACCCGCGGGCCGTCCGGCGGCGCTGCAGTGCCAGTACAATCCGCGGGCCGTCCGGCGGCGCTGCAGCACCAGTACAACCCGCGGGCCGTCCGGCGGCGCTGCAGTACCAGTACAACCCGCGGGCCGTCCGGCGGCGCTACAGCACCAGTACAACCCGCGGGCCGTCCGGCGGCGCCGCGGCACCAGTACAACCCGCGGGCCGTCCGGCGGCGCTGCAGTGCCAGTACAATCCGCGGGCCGTCCGGCGGCGCTGCAGCACCAGTACGACCCGCGGGCCGTCCGGCGGCGCTGCAGCACCAGTACAACCCGCGGGCCGTCCGGCGGCGCTGCTGTACCGTTACAATCCGCGGGCCGTCCGGCGGCGCCGCGGCAGCACTACAACGTCGTGCGCCCTTTCCCCGAGACAGGTCCACAGAGCCCGCCGGTCAGTCCACCGCAGGTGCCCGGTCTCCTACCGAAGAGTGCACGCTGCCCGGCGGACGAGCGGCAGCACCGCACGAACCCGCCACCGGCCGACGGGGAAACCCGTCGTCCCGGAGGTCGCCGTCACCGCCGCAACCATCATCGCCATTATCGTCATTACGGCCGGTATTTTCTGGAATCATCGGCCGCATATCGACCCGCTTGATCATCCTGTCCGGCGCCGCCGTCTCCGCCTGGCGCGTCTTGATCGGCCTCGTCACTACGCAGCTCACGGTGGGGTGCGGGCCGACACCGCGCCGCGACACACCCCGGCCGGAAGGGCCGGCGGGCAACCGCAGCTGCGCCGGAAGTGGCCCGCTTCCGGCGCCGGCCGAGGTGGCGCCACGCGCTGACTGACGGCACGAGGGGCCGCCACCGTCAGCGCCCGCGGGCGTGGGAAGAGCGTCGGCCACCGAGCGGCGTCTCAACGGAGCGGCTCGGCCGCATGAGGATGGAGCGGCCCACGTGTCGGCAACATCGGCGCCGGTACAGCCGGCCAGCGGAGACCGAGCGGCGTCTCAACGGAGCAGCTCGGCCGCATGAGGATGGAGCCCACGTGTCGGCAACATCGGCGCCGGTACAGCCGGCCAGCGGAGACCGAGCGGCGTTTCAACGGAGCAGCTCGGCCGCATGAGGATAGGGGCACGTGTCGGCAACATCGGCGCCGGTACAGCCGGCCAGCGGAGACCGAGTGGCCAAACACGCCGGCACACAACGGTGATGACAACGGTAAAACACGCCCGCAGGACGGTGATAACTGGATCGGGAGATTGGGGAAATATCTGGCTGTTTGTAAACTATGAGATAAGCGGCACCGCGGTGCCGTGGGTCACCATCAAGCCACACGCATACGTTTCTTAGTCGTTCTAACGTTGTTAGAGCAATGACAGAGCCGGAGGGGGGCCGAAAGAGCCCAGCGCGGCACCCACGAGGTTTTCGTACTGCAAAACGCCGTTCATGTCCAAGCATAGTCGTGCGCGAAACTCCTTGGCGAAATTCGTCATGGCCACCACACTTCCCGAACATACCAACCGATGTCACCAGCCTTCTACCACCTTTTAATCGATGTGCAGTGACCACGTACCGGCTCCTGGGTCAGCGCCCGCACTGGCACGCCTCTCGGCCGCACGGGGCCGCGACGGCCGAACGGCCGGGGCCGGCGGCGGCAGCGGCGGCGCCGCGGGAGCCACAGCCACCGCCGTCAGCGTCCCACGAGGCACGCAGGCCTGAGCAAGCCGGCGAGCGCGAGAACCGCCAGACTCCCTCCGTCACACCAAACACCGCAGCACGCCGCGCCACAACGGCGGGCGTCCGCGCCACATCCCCGGCGCCACAGCCCGGCGGCGCCCCGTGTGCCTCGCGGCGCGCGCGGGCGACGGCGCTCTCTCACCTGACGAACGGTCGGTCGAGCCGGGCGCGGTGGCGGCCCTCCTGCAGCGTCTGGTACTCGGTGCGGCCCGAGAAACGGAACCGGCTGCCCAGGCCCATGAGCCGGCGCACGGGCGCCTGCGGCGCGTTCAGCCTGAAGAACGTGTGGTGCTCGACGGCCGTCTTCCAGAGCGTCTTGGAGGCGCGGTACGAGGGCAGGCTGAAGCCCAGCAGGCTGTCGTAGTCCTCCGACTGGCGGGGCGGCAGTGCGCACCGTCAGCGGTCGCCACACGATGATACCGATCGGACGGCTAACGAGCGCTCCCGACCGGGCGGCCTGAGCCAGCGAGTGACATCATGGTCTAAACAACGCCGTCATTAATTAGCCGGCCGTTTGATAACCGCAGGCGGTGAACGACGTGGCGACAGGACGCGCCAGCAGGTGGCGGGCGATGGGCAGCCTAATGTACGACGACGTCCGTGGTCTCGGATTTCGGTAGCAGTGCTCACGCTCATGCTGCCCGCTAATGAGCAGATCAAACCCCGCTATCGTTTCGGAAGTGCCAAGACGAATTCTTTGCCTGCGTCCGCATTCAATAGAGGCACTGTCCAGCCGTCATACCAGTTCCCGCCTCAGCTGTATGAAGAACTCCTTCCTCTTGAACGCGATCTTGACGATCTTTGCCCACGAGAACGTGTTGATCTTCTTCTTGTTTTGGAACACCACCAGGCCGACCGCCGCCACACCCAGCTGAATCTCGCGACCACTCGAGTCCTGGCGAAAAAGGCACATCTCTGACACGAGGGACGTCTGGCGGCGGCATGACCAACCATTAGTTTGCGCGATAGTGGCGCCAGGCATCCCACAAGCAGACATGCGCATGGCTCCCACTGGTTCCTCCGACAAAACAAGACCCCTGATAATGGTTTCACTAGTTCTTTGGACAAAACAAAACCCACTGCCAACATGTCACAACCATTACAACCAGTACATTCTTACCATTATCAAAAAATCATTGTCTAATCATTGCTCTCAGAACTGAGTTCCTGACAGCTGAAACTATCACATAAAATTACCCACATATTTCTCTTCACAAAATAAATAAAAGTCATATGCCACAGTCCACAGTCATGCCCAGCAGTCAATATATCCTAATACCAACACAATAATTAGTAAGACTTAACTGTTAATTGAATACCATTGCCAAAGATTTACGAGTCAGCACCCGACAAATGAAACCACCTGCCTGATTATTCCAGGATAGCAGGAGTGTCCAAAATTATCTCTCTAAATCTCTCCAATATCTCCCAAAAATGCGATCAAACTCGCGGCCGAGACTTCTTTTCGTTAAACCTTTTGTAGTCATACAGAGACAGCCATCTGACTGTGTCAGAAATCAAGGCCGTGAAAAGATCGTCAACAGGGCAGATGTCAGACACTGGCAGACCCAGGGCGGTGCTGTCAGTGTAGATCGGCCAGCTGGCCATGGGTCCCCCATTCACCGTCCACAAAGCCGCAGCCTTCGCACGAATGTAAACAAACCGTCACGTGACAAGGTCGATTAACAAGACTATACCAATGGTAACGTGATCTTATTTGCAGACCATTATACGGGATAGATATTATTCAACTCTGGTAATTAATGCCTTTTCATATCAACACAAATTATCTCTTTACCAGCTTTTCACAAAATGCTGATCCAAAAAACGCCAATTGGCCAAGGCCATCCAGCAGGTTGGTTCTGTGTTGTTTGTTCTCTATTACCTTTGGGAGAACCCTTTCATAACGCCACGGATCCATTGATAAAAAACTGGATAACATCCCGGTGCTATTTCATGTCTTCAGTGTGTGCATCTAATATTGTTGCTAATATGGGAGTGGCGAACCTTGCAGCCACCTGTGTGTCGAGCTGCTGAGGGAGTTATTGTGCTGGAAGGGGCCGGGTCACCGGAAATAGACGTGTCAGCAGGCCCACTGCGCGGCAAAGAAACGATCAGTTCGGATAATCTCGGGGATATTTAGGTGGGGCAGCAATTTTCCATCTCTGCAGACACTCCACCAACCAGCCTGGGAGCAAAGATAAGCTTGCAAGTGTCGAAGATGGATGTCATAGCCATGGATACAAGATTACAGGTATGCAGGAAAATGAAACCGCAAAATTCACGTAAGTGTATTATCCACGCTTCGTTGTGCTAGCTGTGGCAGATCTTGGTAAGATCTCATCGTGCCAGGGACGCAGCAAAACGATAGAATTTGAGACAGTTTTCTGAAATAGTCCATGTACATTGTTTCCACTCATTTTTGACTGTAAGAAATGCTAAAAGTGAATTTTTATGTTTTCGGGCGGCACCAAACCTCCCAACGCCAGGGAGAAAGTGGACCAAATTTAGGGAGACATACATTTGGGCGAGAAGGTTCATTCATACCCCTTTTTCAGCTTCCCAACACATTTTGAAAAAAAATTGTGCCCCTGAGAAACACCTTAATGAACTTTGACCACCCGACAAGTGTCTAAGGTGGTTGTCATTAATGAACGCCTTTAGATTATTTTGTTTCTTGCTGCTCTTGGTTCTCGCTCGATCCTTCGGGCTGGATCTTGGTTTCTGCTGAATCACTAGACCTCATTCCAAACTGGTTCCTGGGTTCTTCCTGGTTCCAGAACCAGCACATGGGCTCCCGGAAGAAATCTTGGGAACCAGGCATATGTCGGCTGACTAGTTTACAGCCCAATACAAGCACATCAACATACACATGGGCAGCACTTCTTTAAATATAAAGTGGGGCCCCAACAGGAATTTTCCCGATCAAGAGACCATCACTGGCCAGGGGGCCAGTACGCGGCCATAGCCATCCCTATGTAGTCAATATATCATAAGCCAGCGCTTGCCAGGACAGTAGATCATGTTACGTTCAGCCGCAGTTTAGAACTCTGTAATGACAGCGAGCTCCGACTCGGGAGCTTCACCGATGAGCGGTATCAGCGCCGCGCAACTTCCGGAGAACATCTGCGTGTCAGAGCTGAATAACGTGCAGCCAACAAGTGCGTGCTTGACAGTCACACGTGTCCGCATGGCTCGCACGTGGGAGCTTCCGATGTGTCCTTCAGTCCAAATATGTGGGCGCTGTACGTGTGACCAATGGTAAGACGAGTCAGAACGACTTCGTATTTCCCCAGCTTCCATCACCACATACCTACCGTTAAAAACCGCAACTCATTGAGGGGGGGGGCAACCCTTTACAAGCACACCAAAAGACGCCCCAACACATCACATTCACCGCTGGCCGCGCCAGGCCAGCACGCCGACACGCCCACCTTGGCCCTGTGCAGGTCCAGGCCGTACATCTCCAGCCGTTTGACGTGCTCCAGGTAGCAGAACTCGGCGTCGGCCGGCGTCAGGCCCCTGCAGGCGGACAAGGGACGGACGTCAGCGCCCGCTGCGCGGCGCGCGGTGTGGCCAGCTATGAGTCCAGCGGCAGAGCAGCCTTAAGTACATGGCGCGCCAACACTTGAGGGCCGATATCATGGTACCATACTACAGAGTCGCTAAAATGTTCCCTCCCCCCCCCCAAAAAAAAACAACAAGAATATCGCCGCGAAGACACGTGACGAGCGGCGCACCCGCCCGCCCGCGCTCGCCACTTCGCGCACGTGCCCCCTGTGCCGGCTGGCCCTCCTCTCCCGCCCCTCTCCCAGCGGTCGCGGCGGAGCGGGGCAGGGCCGCACCTGTGCCGGGCGTGCAGCTCGGTGATCTTCTTCTCCATGTCGTCGTTGACGGCCGGCAGCAGCGGCAGGCGCGCCAGGTAGCCGGGCGGGTGCTCCTCCGGGCAGAAGTCTCCCAGCTCGGCTGCGGGGCGCACGGCAGCGGCGGTCAGACGCCGCAGGCGGTCAGACGGGGCTCGCGCCACGCGGCTCGTCACGTGGGGCGGCGTCTCGCACCGACCGTGGCTAATGCTTCGCTTCATAGCGACGTGGACAGTCGTATGCGACGCTGGGTGGCTCAAGCTGGGCCCAGAGGAGCGTCGACTGTATGCGGCAGAACAGGGTCACGACGCGGCGATTTGGCAGCGCTGGCGGCATTCGTCCGTCCGTGTTCTTCTCCCGCCTCAGTGGAGGACTTCGACACCCGGCCAGAGCCCCCCCCCCCCTCCCCCCCCCCGCTCCCCGCCAGGACGGGCCAATGAGCCGGGCCGCAGCGGCGCGGACGCTTTCCCAGCGCGCCAGCCTAATCAGAGCCGACAGCTGCACTGGGCGGCGGACACGACTTGCTCGTGCATCTGATAGCTCGCGAAAGGCCACCGGACCCGACAACGCTAGGCGCGGGGGGGGGGGGCTGGGGGGGGGGGGGGGGTCGGCAGAACAGGTTTGTGACTGATCGGCGGAAGTGACGCCGGGCTGAGCTCGCCGGCTCCGCGGCAGCAGGCCGTCCGCGGGGCCGGGGCACGCGGCCGGGCCCCGCCGGCAACGCACCGCGGTGTGGAGGCACACAGGACGGCACGCCGCGCGGCTCGGAGACGGCCTAGAAAACAGCTCGAAAAGGCGGCCACGGCAAGGCCAGAGACGAGCCCAGCTTCGGCTCCGGTCCGGGCACGATTTAGAGAACAGCTCGGAGACGCGAGCACGGCACGGCCAGAGACGAACCCAGCCTCGGCTCCGCTCCGGGCACGATTTTGATAACAGCTAGGAGATGTGAACACGGCACGGCCAGAGACGAGTCCAGCCTCGGCTGTCAGTGCAACGGTGCTATGCATCGAGCCGTTAGCACCCTCCCGATTTAACCATTCTAGAAGGAGACTGCATGACGCAGCAAGAATATGGCGAGGGCGAGGGCGAAAGAGGGAGGAGCGTGGCGCCCCAGGTTCTAACCTGGAAGAAGTGCACTGAATGGCTTGACTGTGACGATCTTCGTCAGGGCGCTATATAAACATCACCCAGAAATCACGGTGCATCTACCATAGCTATACGGCCATAAGCCTTGGATCCTGGCTTGGATCCTGGCGGATCGCCACCTAGCGCACGGCACTAGTCATTCCATCATAACCCACACTGCCGACTCTCCCTGCGCGTCCCACCCCACTCTCACCCTGCGCGACGAAGCTGGCCAGCAGGCACGCGGTGGACGGCAGCAGGGGCAGCTGGCCCTCCAGCACGTCCCGGCGCAGCTGCAGGCAGAAGTGGTAGCGCGTGTACTCCTCGTGCAGCTTGCTGGGGTCGGTGACGTAGAACTTGACGCGGAAGTGGTACGTGGCCGGCTGCGTCTTGCCGGCCACCTGTCGCCGTAGCGGCTTGCGCGGGTCCAGCCAGCGCTGCCGGTGGACGGGGCGGAAATGACGGGGCGGCGCGGCACGTGCGCGCCGACCTGGGGCGGCCGACACGAACTCTGCTGACACGTCCGTTGGTGCTAAACGGGCTTGGATTTGCTGGGTAAGAGGTTTCTAGCCGTCAGAAACGTCGAGAGTGATCTCGCACGCTGACGATCGGAGCCAGGAATGTATGCCCAGTGTAACTGCCGGCCGACACAGACGACCGCGCCCAGGCTTTACGGCATCGTGGGTCGAACAGAGCAGAGAGCCTGAGACAGAGGAGAGTTTCATCCCCCAGCTGACCTGACGATCAGAGCTGAGCACTCGCAGCACTTTGGGCGATCAGAGCTGAGGATTCGCCGCACTTTGGGATTGGGATCCTGCGGTAGGTCGCCTGGGATTTTAATAGGGATTCGATGTTCGGACAAAGTCATTTATAATGAAACCTTTGCAGTCAAGGAGGGGTGACTTAGCCCGGCCCATGACCGACACATGGGAGTCACATTCAACTCATCTGAAGGAAAAAGGGCCCAGATCATGTTGTATGCATTGAATTGCATGTTAAAATAATTGTCTTCAAGATGCGGGACAGTTTTGATATTTGAATCCTGAATTTCATTCTGCTATTTTAAACTTATTTTGCCAACAAAAATTCTCAATTTGATTCTGGAATTCACTTCTGCTATTCTTTTCGGTAAAAGCATGTCGCTGAAATATTAACGCATCTGTATCGCAATTCTTCTGATTTTCCCCCCGAGGATAAGACTGCTACTACTGTGTGAATAACGTTCCCCGCAAGTGCGCTAAACAACTTACGTAATTCTGAATTGTATGACATTTACGATTATTGGGCGGGTCGACACGGTGGCCATTTCGCATCCTCTCGAAAATTGTCTTCTGCATGCCACTCGGTCACAACTGTGCCATTTATATATACCTTCGTACTTCCTCCGTATACCTATCCAGTTGGACGGCAACAAACGATCCCTAACACGCGCCCAGGTGGCCGATTAGACACCCTTCGCTCGGGCGGGGGTCAATTTGACCCCCTGAGATCTAGGAAACTGAGAGAGCTAGAGACACCACATTTATAGGGTGTGTTGATCTGTACGTGAACTCACATGGGTCGAAGTTTGAAGTTCCTAGGTCATGACCTTCGGGTCAAATAAGGTCAAACAAGATCGAATTCCAGGTTGGTCTCCAAAGTGCCCCCAGAACCTAGCTAACTATTTCTAAGCAAAAGTTGACACGCTCATTTGAGGTCAGTGACCTTGATTGACTTTTTGAAGGTCATGGTGACCAAAATCATGCAACAGTGCTCTGACTTTTGCATTTGAATAAACGACAACGATAACGCTATGCAGTACGTCTCTAGAAGCAAAATGTTGACCTGGGTCGTGTTGCAGTTCAATGACCTATTCTGAACTCTAAGAAGTCCATGGAAGATGTCTAATGTGGTTCCTGCTATCAATAAATTCGAAATGAGCGCCAGAAACTACCCCAAACAAGCCCTGAAGTAAAAAAATAGGCTGGTTCTGACCTTGGTCTGACCTTCACACGTAACCTTAGGTCAACGTAATTTGCTCATTCAATATTTGTGTTGCCTAAGAAAGCATCTCAGAGCTATATGGCTTCGTCTAACACTCCGCTGTTGTATCAGATTAAATGATTTGCTAGAAATCAACTTCGCTGCAACCGTGGTCTGACCTTGACCTGCCATAGGTAAGCGACCTTACAATATACATCAAAAAAAATTATAACAAACGATCCATTATTCAATTGCCTACAGCTATGCACAATTTGGCGCGGTTGCGTCGCGCCGTTCGGAAACCAGTCTGGAAAAAACCTTCGGGGGGGGGGGGCAATTTGATCCCCCACCCGAGCGCGTACTAAGTCAATTTGGGCCAAAAAGCGAGTATGTCGACATCACATGGGCCCCGACCCAGGAACCGGGAAAGGGGCGGCGGATCGCAGTACCGCAGGCGATCACAGCTGCGGTAAAGCGAGACTCGCCCCGCTGCCATGCTGGCTGCTCCTGTACAGGTGTACCACCTTGTCAACCTGGTAACGACCAAGCCAGGCGGCGGGACTGTGGGACGCCACGGGGCAGATCATCAAGCGTGCGTTGGGTGATTTTGCCAAGGTGGATGGGTTCGAATCCCCGCGGTGCCTGCCCTTCCCGCCAGGGCGAGAGGCCGGCGATGCCATTTGGCCTCAGCAGCTGAGTGCGTCGTAATGTCCCAATGACGACGACAGACTTGAGAGTCAGAAAGGTCGCGAGAAATAACTATGTTGTCGCAACTACTCCCTAACAAGGAATTAAATGCAAAAACATGCTTTAGCTTTCAACTTTTACAACGGAACACGTTTTGGCAACGCTCTCCTGCACCCGAGCGCACCCGCACAAACTGAATCCGAACCTGAGCGCGCACACCTTCTAATTCTGTGCACTGCGGCGACACAAACGCAGCGGAGCTTAAGAGCGGCCCCCGTTTGCTTCAATCCGCGCTGTGAGGAACTAGCCCGGATAACAGCTTCAGGCACAGGGAAGCGCGAGACTACGCCGCAAGCGGCTATTTCCGGTATTATTTCAACACTCACAGCCACGATTTCAACACTCACCTGCCACCTTCGACCACGAGGGCCCAGCAGGTGATCCGTACCCCGTGCCAATGTCTTGCCCGCATGCAAGCCACTCCCAGCCATCTCAGCCCGTCTGTGTCCCACCCAGCGCGCGCTCGGGTCCCCTGCCGGCGTCCGGGAGTCCGGAGCACGCAGCGGCGACGGTCGCGTCTGCTGGCGCTCCCATTCATCACACACAGACGCACAGCCAGCACGCGCCTGCAAGGCCGTCCGGCGGCGGCGCTGGCGCGGCACCGGCCGCCCACCCGGGCCCTGGCTGGCACCGAGCCAACGCTGCAGCTCCCAGTGCGGCGGCCCCCGTCCCCGCGGCGGGGTCTCGGCCGCCCGACGTGCGCAGATCGGGCAGGAGGTGGCGGGCCACGCACACGGTGCCAGCCTCGGCCGGCGATCAGAGGTCTCGGGCCCGCTGGTGGGTGCACGGCCGAGGGACAGCACGGCGCTTCTCACAGTGAAGGCGCATGTCCGACCCCGGTCCAAAGTCGCTACCGCAGCCCTCGGGCGCACACCGGGTCACCGTCCTCGCACCCCTGCCCAGGGCCGGACGCGGCCGCAAAACCAGCGCGGCTGGCGCTCCGCAACGCGCGCGCGCCATGGACACGTCTCCAGCATTACATCGTGAGTCATCACTAATTTCGCGCCGCCGCTGGGGCGGCCAGCGACCGCGCCGGCATCGCTGCGGTGGCGCCAGGCAGACGGGCATCCGGTACAGTCCCTGCAGAGCCCTCCGCAGAATGCCGCTACCGAGGCCGCCTCCACCCTGCCCTCCCCCTACCCCCGCAGTTGAGCTGGATCGGTCACTAGCCGGCGCGCCACCGCTGGCCCGTGTTCGGCTCCGCGTCCTTGAGCCGCCTCCGGGGCGCGCGCGCCGTGCGTCTGGCGCGGCCGCTCTGTATACGCAGGCCGCACGCAGACCACCCGCAATCCCGGCCAGGGCCAGCCATTCACAGCCCGGTAGTCCGCCCGGCCCGGCCGCCCAGCTAGCCAGAAAAAAAAACACCGTCACTCACAACAGGCACGGTCCCACCCCCATAAACGCAGGAAGCCGCCCAACAGCTTAATTTAACACGCGGCCGCACAGGCATGAGCTGCACGCCGCTGGCGTGTGATCGCGGCCGATGTCAGCGGCCGCATCAGCGGTGCCGAGTCTGCACGCGGCGCGAGCGCTGAAGGCGACGCCTCATGCGCCGCCGGCCGCGCGTGCCTCACCATAACCGACGCGTCATTCTCGGCGTCGCAGAACTGCAGGCTGAAGTAGTCCTTCTCGATGAGCTCCAGGTGCTGGTAGACGAGGTCCAGCAGCGCCTGGCCCCGGCTCTTCTTCTGTGGACAAGCGCGGCCGTCAGTCGGGGCGCCGCCGCTCGGCGGCTCGGCGCCCGCGGCCGGGAGCCCCGAGCGCCGTCCCCCCTCCCCCCTCGCCCTCGCCAGGAGTTTTGGAATGACTGGATCGCAGAATTGAATGTGAACAGCGAAGAACTGGGCACATGAGATGAGGGTAAAACTAAGGGCAAGAATAACAAGAACATCGATGGAAAACCAAGGAGAGTTATTGCGCTGATGTACCACTGGCTGCACCTGAGGAAGATTGGCTGAACCTCTGATGTAAGGAGCACGAGGGTGACGTCAACAGCTGTTCGTCCAGGGTCACAGGGTCACTGGATGGAGTCGGGAATGCGATACAACACGAAGTTCTAGAGCGAAGGCGCGCGCGCGCGGTAAACAGCGAAGAGCAATCTTAGAACATGGTGGCATGTACTAAAACAAAGCAAACACGGTAAATCATGTTTGCACTAAATACACGATCATACTGAAACGGATGAGCAGGTAATCACGGTTTCGCAACACAAACAGGTATGTGATTGGCGTAAATAGATGATCGAACTGCCTATCATATGTCACATTGGGTTTACCATCCTTCTAAAGCTTCAAAGGATACGCCGACCAACGTCATCAGAACAGCTGGCGACATAACGGATCTGGCTACAAAGACTGAACAACCTCGACTTGCCGTGCCGCCGGCAGGCCTCATCAACAACCATACGCCAGCTTCCCGGAACACCAGCCATCTGGGCACGCACAATCCGACCGAACGGCCCGGCCGACACCGGATCCGGTCACCTCTCCTTCAGCAGCGACGCACCGCGTCCGAGCCGACCTCGGAGCTGCTGCCCACCCCGTAAATACTGCCCGAAGCGCGTCGGAGTCGCGCCGCGCTGTTTGGAAAAGCAATCATCTATCAGGGGCGGAAAAGCCGAGCGGCCCGCAGCCAATCGTCGGCGCTGTAAACACGACAAGGCGGCGTAGCCCGGGGCGGGCCAGTGGCCGACCCTGGACGGCCTGAGCAGCACCCCGCCGCACGGCCACCGAGCGAGCCGAGACCAGCCGTGTCGTGCCTCAAGCCCACCATCTAGCGTGAACGCAGTGTTAGGAGGACAGACCTTACACAACTCACCCAGCATTTCCAAAACGTTCCCACTTTGTGTGAGTGTGATGTTAGAATGCGCCACCACGAGAATCGACGGCATTAGACTAAGCTATGCGATCTCCGCTTGCCGGAACAACATGCATCCCTATACACAGGGTGCCCGCAAATACAATGCACATGGAGTGTTCTAAGCTATGCGATCTCCGCTTGCCGGAACAATATGCATCCCTATACACAGGGTGCCCGCAAATACAATGCACATGGAGTGTTTTAAGCTATGCGATCTCCGCTTGCCGGAACAATATGCATCCCTATACACAGGGTGCCCGCAAATACAATGCACATTGAGTGTAGATAGAGCGATCGGCAATGGCTACAGCCAAGGCCCTATAACAACAGCTAGCGAGAGATACAGCGAGACAGGCAACAGGGGCTACAGTGAGAGAGTCCAACACATCGGCCGGCATCGCCCGGGATTTACTAAACTTTTACTCGATTTACCTGACCAGCTCCCAGTCCATTTTCCGGATCGCCATCGGCTCACCTCAACAATCGGATGTTTGGCAGCAAAACTTGCCCGCCAGAGCAGCTTAAGGCCGCGGAGGTCCGCAGTGTCACGGTCCACATGGCCGTTAACACCCATTTCCCTGCTGCTGAAGATCCCCCCCCCCCCCCCCCACATCTCCACTCATGGTCCTGCGACGCCGAGCGCGTGTGTACAGCATCTTCTTTAACCCATGCTGGGGTCAAGGGCAAAATGAACCCCCTCCCCGACGGGTTTTTCAGAATAACTTCCAAACGGCACGGCGTGGCCGCAACAACCCTTTCTTTGCCGTAGGCGGTTGAAAGCCGATCTTTTGGTGCAAAAAATAGATACACCTCGTGAGGTCGCTGACCTGTGGCAGGTCAGTCAGGCCATGGTTGTGAGCCAACGCATTTTATAGAGAATCGTTCAAACTGATGCGACGACGGGGTGTTAAATGGAAGTCATACATATTTGAGATTTTTTTAGACCGCTGAGTTCAAGATCTAGGTTATTTCCATTGACCTTTCGTTACGTATGAACGTCAGCTTAAGATAAAACCGAACTGCTTTATTACTGGAGAGCTTCCTCTTAGCAATTTTTGATCCTCATTTCAAATTGCTTTACCGCAAGGACGTGAACAGACACCTTATGCTGGCTTCATCAAAGTCAGGGAGGTCACTGACCTCGAATGAACTTAATCGACCCTTTAATTTGAGGACATGCCGCCTAGCGTAGTTCTTGACGCTGATCTCAAATTGGAATACACAACAATGTCAAGTTTTTGGTTTTTGACCGTCCAAAACCAAGGTCTCAAAGGTTTTCGGTCACATTGACCGTCTGAAGGGTCACCGATCTTCATTACCACCTGGCCTTTTGCTTACATAAGTGTCTAGGTTCAAGGTGATTGCATGAGGACGTCGGTGGGCACTTCAAACATCCATCTGGAGTTTAACCCTGTTTGACCCTATTTGGCACGAATATTACCACTGAAGAGCCTGAAAATTTGCCTCAAATGAGTTCATACAGAGGGCTACCCACCCCGTGAATTTGGTGTTTCAAACTCTCTTAGTTTTTGACACCCAAGGGGTCAAATTGCCCCTCCCCTATGTTACCCGAGTGTTGCCTTCGACCGGCCCCTATGGGCGCGTGTTGAGAACATGCCGAGAGACAGTCTGGCGGCCGATGGTCAACATGAGCAATGGTTTCACGCCAGGTTATGGCAATTCCTGTGATATTTGGTTGTTGGTCATGTGATGTTTATTACCACGTTATTGGGAAACGTCTCAGCATGCTTCATCTGCGGACACCTTGTGTGTACGCACGCCTCGAAAGTCCGGGCCCTGGTGGTACGCATGTTGCGGGTTGGCGAGCCGCGCACTTTTAAGTCAGCCAAACGTAGTTAAGTTCGGCGAGTAAGGTAAACTGAGACCCCCGATTTCATCCAGTTATGAAATATCTAATTTCCGTATAGAATTGCCAAGCGAGGTCAAGCTTCCATGCGAGGATACGTTTCGTACTTGTTCGATATCCTGCATTTCTGTCTAACGGCCGATGCGTGGGTCGATGACTGCACTGTCGCCAAGGCAACCGGCCAATGCCCGACCTGGCGGCAGGGGCAGGCAGAGATGGCCTCGGGCCGCTCAGCTGCCAGCTGGTGTGACCTGTGCCGTGCCTGCCGCCATGCTCGACACGTGCCGGTAGGCCGAGCACTGTGAAACCCGCTGAGAGGTGGTTGGGCACGACCCGACCAGATGGAGCCGCGCCACTCCTCGTAACACATCTCCAGAGTTGGACGTCTGCAGGGAAGTGGACTCAGCCGCGACGCTTCCTGGAGGGATGTCAACAGGGCAGCTGCGCGACAGACCCGATCGCAATACAAACAAATGGGGCTGCAGCGCCATCGACGAAAGACGCTTGGGACATGATAATAAGCCGCGACGCCCAGCTAACACGACCGTATGCACGACAATGGCAGGCGGTAATGGAACATGCTGCCCCGATCCACAGCATCAATATTTATAAATGTATGGGCAAACCGTCCGAACACCACACAGCATCTGAATCGCCACTTTACGCCCATCGGTAACCGAGCCCACTGCAACACGACACCCCACAAACCAACGAGCCAGCTACACAACCCCCCCCCCCCCCCCCCCACACACACACCTCAAGTAAGCCTGTAAGTCACGCTCCAGTGGCAGCGAGCGTCCCGGCCGGGTGCTATGGTCGCCTCACCTCTAGGTGGAAGACATGCTGGCTGTGGTCGAGGAAGAGGACGGTGTAGGGCAGCGCGCGGACCTGCCGCTCGCGCGCCAGCTCGCTGTCCCGCACGTTGTACGTGCCGCTCGAGCCGCCGAAAGCCCGCCGCGACACCGTCTCCAGCATCTGCCGGGACGGAGAGACGCTGTAAGTCTGCGCACGGAGAGACACGGCCCACTGTCTGCTGGGATAGAGACACGTGAATCTGCCGGCAGATAGCACATGGTGAGAAGCCATCTCAATATATGCCGGGACAGCGGGACACGGTCGGACATCTGACGGGACAGCGGGACGGTAGGGAGAAGGCCCGGACACTGTTCAATGGACTGATAACTATTGCCACCACTGCCCATCCCGTCCGTGCCACCAGTGATGGCCGAGTGGTTTGAGGGGTAACCCTTAGCTCGATACCGAATAACGCCGCGGCTTTCATACACATCGCAACGTGGACTCAAGACGACGACCGCTGCCAACGGCGTTCCACCTCACGCCGTCTGCACCACAGGCTGACGGGTGGTGACTTCCACGACCCGCCCACGATCCCGTGCCGCTGATCGGCTCGTTGACCGCGGCAACACTCCTCGTTGCTGGCCCGACAACGCCCGGAGGGGAAAGCGCGGGCGCGCCAGGCGACTACCGAACGGGGTGCGTCACTGACGTTGCAGCGACCGTCACCACACACCAGGCGTCAGAGCACGGCAGCCACCTGGGTCAGAGGGTCCGCCGAGTACACACAGAACAATAACAACAGCCAGCTGAATCAGGCCCAGCGGTGTTAAGTCGAGCGCGTCTTGTTCTTCCCACAGAGCCCGACCCCTACGACGCAACCTCCGTGACCTCGCCAGCTCCCAGGTCCCAATAAACGTCAACAAACACTGCCGGCGCTGTCAGCGGGCGGCAGCTGCTCAGGTCGGCGCCGGCTGGCTGCGCCATGCCGGCAGCGCGTTGTATCAGCCCGGACACTGCTCCCTCAAACAAGCGTTTCCATCTGTCGCGCCGGCTGCCGACGCGGCCGACGGGGCGGGTCCGCGCCGCCTGACAACGGCTTCCGGCGCTGCTGTCAGCTCCGCCCCGGTCCCATGGTCGATGCACGCGCTCGGATAGCGACGAGGGGCGGGGCGGGGCGGGGCGGGGCGGGGCGAGGCGGGGGACGGGACGGGACGATCCGACGGCCCCGGGCCGGACGCCTACTCCGCAGACAACCACGCCCTCACAGCAGATGTACCGGTGGCCACCTGACTAATAATTCGTCACGACGACTGGCTGATTATATATATATATATATATATATATATATATATATATATATATATATATATATATATATATATATATCTCTCTCTCTCTCTCTCTCTCTCTCTCTCTCTCTCTCTCTCTCTCTCTCTCTCTCTATCTCTCTCTCTCTCTCTCTCTCTCTCTCTCTCTCTCTCTCTCTCTCTCTCTCTCTCTCTCTCTCTCTCTCTCTCTCTCTCTCTCTCTCCTCTCTCTCTCTCTCTCTCTCTCTCTCTCTCTCTCTCTCTCTCTCCTCTCTCTCTCTCTTCTCTCTCTCTCTCTCTCTCTCTCTCTCTCTCTCTCTCTCTCTCTCTCTCTCACTCTCTCTCTCTCTCTCTCTCTCTCTCTCTCTCTCTCTCTCTCTCTCTCTCTCTCTCTTCTCTCATTCTCTCTCTCTCTCTCATTCTCTCTCTCTCTCATTCTCTCTCTCTCTCATTCTCTCTCTCTCTCTCATTCTCTCTCTCTCTCATTCTCTCTCTCTCATTCTCTCTCTCTCATTCTCTCTCTCTCATTCTCTCTCTCTCATTCTCTCTCTCTCATTCTCTCTCTCTCATTCTCTCTCTCTCATTCTCTCTCTCTCATTCTCTCTCTCTCATTCTCTCTCTCTCATTCTCTCTCTCACTCTCTCTCTCTCATTCTCTCTCTCTCATTCTCTCTCTCTCTCTCTCTCTCTCTCTCTCTCTCTCTCTCTCATTCTCTCTCTCTCATTGTCTCTCTCTCATTCTCTCTCTCTCTCATTCTCTCTCTCTCTCATTCTCTCTCTCTCATTCTCTCTCTCTCCCTCTCTCTCTCTATATATTATCACCACCAGCTGAATCGAACAACGAAACGAGTCCTACCTCCAGCCGCTGCTGAGCCATCTCGGGGGCCGCTCCGACATTGCACCGGCCGTTACTGAGCCATCTCGCCACTGCATGCTGTTACGTCACCCCGCCCGGCCGCGGCGGCGGCGGCCCATTCATCAGAGCACCAGCGGCGCCCCCCTCTGCCACTCCCGACCCGTGGCAGCGACAAGACTGGCTCACCGAGCCGGTGGCCGACGGCCACTGCGGCTGGTGTGCCGCCGCTCGCGTGCTGATCTTGGACGCGCTCGACGGTGCTTCCGGCGCGGCGGCCGCGCCCGTACCCCCTCCCTCCGGTCGACTGACCCGCCGCCGATGGATCACAATGGGCTCCGAGCCGTCCGCCCCGGCCAGCTGTGGCGGGGGCGAGGCGCCGCGGCCGCAGGGCGCGGGCCGGCGAGCGGCCGGGAGACGCCAGCTCAAGTGGCGTTGCACTGCGATGACGCGTCCGTCGTGCTGGGATGGGCCGTCCAGCGCTGCGGCGGCTGGGCAGGGGGAGGGTAGAGTGAACACCGCCGCTGCGCCCGACCATTGGCCGGCCAGACGCCGCTGCCGCTAAAATTAGGGCCAATAGTGGAAATATTGCCGGCCCCACACGGCGCAAACAGAGTCGATGCCAAGACGGCCGACACATGAGCCGAGCCAATGAGACAGCGCGCAGGCGGGGTCTGAACGCTGACGGGCCAGTCACTGCCCCACAGGGATCCAGGACGACTCTTCGAGTCGCATCCAGTGCCCCGCCGGATCGCCAAACACGCATCAGGCACTAGTTCGACCGCCGCTGCCGACCGCCCAGCGGTGCCGCCTCGTCCACCGACGTCGGTGGCGCGACGACGCAGAGGCAACCATCCTCGGCTGCAGCCACGGCGGCCGGGTGCGCCGCGCCGCGTGCGGAACGCGTCCGCCCCGGCGGCTTCAAGTCGTATCGACCACGTCGTCACGCGACCAGTGCGCCGCCGAAGCCTTACGGGCGGCCTCCCTCCCAGCGCGCGGCGCGGCGCGGTGCGGGGGAGCCGCGATGGGCCGCGGCGGCCGACAGGTCGGCTGGGCAGTACGCCAGGTCCGACCGAGGCGAGACGAGACCGGACGTGGCCGCCGACCCGCTCCGACCACGGCTCAGGCCATCCCGATGAATGAATGGCAGCTGGAAAACGCGGCTTCGGCCCGCCTACAGACACGGTGTCCGGGAGGCTCACAGACGCTGGCTCGTCGCAGCATTCAGCTACCCGATTGTGAGCCACATCGTGTTCAAACCCCACGCAACTGCGAGATCACAGAGTACCAAGATCACGACGGCTTGAATAACTCGGGAGGAGATCCCATCGTGAGCCTCCGGTCTGCGGAGATGCAGCCCAAATTCGCCCGTCGGGACGTGCTGCATCTGCCCCGACTTAGCAGTCGGCACACGGCCGAGGCGTCGGCCGCGGCGAGCGGGGCCGCACGGGCGGGGCGGCGTCTCCCGCAGCGGAGCGGCCGCCCACCTCACAATGGCAGCCGCCGGCGGTGACACACGCAGCCGGCATGCGGGCGGCGACCGCGACGGGTGCTGCTCGTCCTTAGCGCGGGTGCGCCGGCTCATCACCGGCAGCGGCCGGCCTGGCCGACGGCGAGATCACTTACGCTGGGCGTGGGCGAGGCGGGCGCCGTCCGGCGTGACCGGGGCACAGCCTCGGGCGCCGCCGCCGCGCCGCTCACGGCTGCCCGGGTCACGCGGCGTCGGGCAGCGTCGGCCGGCGTCACGCGGCGCGTCGGGTCACAGCGCCGCACCGCCACCGGCGGCTCCGGCCGGGCAGCGGCGCTGGCGCACAGCGGCGGCGGGCGGAGGCCGACTGCCGGCCTCCGCCCCGCCCCGCCCGCCGGCGGCCGCTCGACGCGCGCTCTCACGGCACCGCGCCGGCCGACCGACGGCCCTGACCCAGGCGGCCGCTGAGCGGGCCTGCCGGCCTGACCTCGGTGGGTCGCGCCCCCGTGCCGGCGTGCCACGCCTTGCCCCAGTGGGTCACGCCCGACCTCAGCTGGTCATATTGTGACTCCGGAGTCCAGACCTGACCTCAGGATGCATGCTAGGTATTCAGGGAGGAGCTATTTATCTCTGGTGCATGAGCAGATTGAGAAAATAAAACAGTAAACAACCAGGGTCAAGTGGCAATAAAGGTAGGCATTTGAGACAACTTCTAAGGACTGACCCTTTTTATGTTGAGAGGAAAGTTAGGTGTGTTTATAGGAGCAGGCAGGGTGGGAAAGATCTGCTGGTGATACTTACATGACACTAACATGCTGAATCAAATGTCATGGTTTGTAGAGTGCAGCCACGAGGCAAAGGATGTTGCTACGGCTACCAGCTTCTAACAATATTTTCAGCACAGTCATTTATCTGTCAAGAGTGAAAAGGGAGTGCCTAAAACAACTTGAATGTCCCCTGCCACAGGTGGACAGATAGGAAGGCAGGTGCTTCTGAGTTATCAGAAGCAGATGTTTATATCACCTATGCAGGGATAGCCAATGAAGAGGAGGCAGAGGGGCAGGATAAGTGGCTGTTCTTGTCCTATCCATTAAAAAAATGTTAATGTGCAACTACTTTTGCATACTACACATATGGAGCTGAGGTTCTTTGCTTGATCCATAGCACACCTTTTAGTGTATAATTTACTATAAGGGTAATTTGCATACCTTTTTCACTGATCATCAGTAAATATGGAATTAGTAATCACAGCTGCATGTGGTCTCCTTTCAGCCTAGTAAACAACAATTTTACATCTATGTTTGTAGCTGTCCTAACTTAATGATAGTTTTCTCCAAAATGGGAATGGATAACCCTTTTCTTATACACCAAGCTACATTCCTTCCATATTTGTAACCACCCAACTAAAGCCATTTGAAATGGGAACTACATGCTTGTGCTACAAAGTGATCCCCATGATGAAATAACTCATCCATTCACCATTTTGCAGACCTGCTTGCCAATGGTGAAAGCTTTATAAATATAATAAAACAAAAGCAATGATGGATCTGGCCAAGACTACAAAAAAGATATAATATAATACCCATTATACTGAACATGTCCAGCATAGCAGTAACACTGCAGCAACCATTTCAGCATATCCATGTTGTAAATCTCAGTAAGTCAAATTGATACATGATCTATGCCAATATCAGACCATAGACAGCCAGTATTATAAGGAATTGTGATGTTGTGAAGGAAATATCTGGAGAAAAAAATATTCAGACAAACTTTGTCATTATCAAACAATTCAACAAAATCAACCCAAAGATGTCCATCTCTCATGAATATTTGTGGTATTTCATGTCATAAAATATCAACTGATGCACATGTTATTGATATTTAAGGAAAAATGTTAATGATAGCTAGATCAGGGCACTGGCACAGCTGGATGGAATTCCTCAGACTGGGACAAGGTGAAGAATCAGCTTTCAATTCACTTTGGCTTGGGCTCAATCATGAATTGCTGTTAAGCCACATAACTAAAATATAATATTCTTACACATAGCCAATGGTTTTATGCTGCCTTGCATAAATGCCATCTACACAGAAAAGCAAGTATGGTCAAGATACATTCACCACTCAGTATGAGCATAGGTAGGTAAATAACTAGGCAAGACGACAACACTCAACAGCCCTTACCAATCTCCGGTGTGTTTACTAAGAAGCACCACTTGTTTGGTGACCAAAGAACTCAAACTGATAGCAGGCAAAAATTATTGCTGTATTTTCATAAACGCGGCATCAATGCATCAAATCCTTGCCATCACCACCTTCTCGTACTTAGTTTGAAAAAAGAAGGAAATGACAAAGTGAACACGTCAATCTAGACCACACCTAAAAGGCATGGCAGATCACGCTAAAACCCCCTAAAATCCAACGACAGGCTTCCGCAATGACATCCGAAACGCACGCCCACCCACTTCCATTCGCAACGCGACGCGACTCGGTAGTGTGAACATAATGGCGCAGTCTCTACGCGCCGAGTTTATCTCATAATCAAAAGAAGTACGGAATATTTTACTTATCTACATTTGCGATCCTTACTGACGCCTCGAAGACACTCCAGCGGTTACAGCTCACGTAACATAACGATTAAAATCGTATCCCACAAATTTAGAAGATGTGTGTTAAATGGGCAAGACTACTGTGGAAGAACATATCGATTGTTCCCAAAATTTTCCTTTGCATACCCCAGGTACTGAATTTATACTGTATTATGATTCGATGTGCCAAAGATTCCTCTGCATGTACTTGGAACATCTTATGCCATTCGACCATTCCTTAAACCAGATCACCATCGTGCATCGTTTTATTACGACTGGCATCCTGCAAGAGGCCATTATGACATCGTTTTTGAAAACAAAATGTCCACATTTTTCTTCCAGGATCCGACAAAATCCCCATGGCCCAAACGATTCTCTTAGTAAAATTGTAGTTTCTATACTGAAACACCATGTCAGGTGTTTGGTACATGTCAGGTGTTTGGTTTGGTGCCCCAGCGGGCTACCGCCCAGTGAGCCTTACTGCCATTCCCTCCAAGATACTTGAAACTTTCGTCCGTGATGTCCTATTTAATCACTTCTCGGAGTCTGGACTTCTCCATGCAGCCCAGCACGGGTTTCTGCCTAAGCGGTCCTGTATCACCCAGCTGTTAGAGGTCGTGGAAGATTGGAGCGCCGCGGTAGGGGATGGAGAGCCGGTGAACGTGACGTACCTGGACTTCAGCAAATCCTTTGATTCCGTGCCTCACAACCGTCTTCTCTCCAAGCTTCAGGCTTACGGTGTGGGAGGTAATTTGCTGCGCTGGATCAGGGCTTTTTTACCCACCGGTTGCAAAGAGTGTGGGTCCAAGGCTCGAGGTTGGACTGGCCCGATGTCGTCAGCGGCATCCCGCAAGGATCAGTACTTGGACCAACGCTGTTCATGATTTTCGTGAACGATCTGCCAGAATAAGTGCGAAGCGTGGCCAAGATGTTTGCGGATGACACCAAGGTCTACTGTCGTGTCCCGAGGCTGCTGACTAACCGACCTCTGCAGGCTGACCTCGACGCCCTGGCCAAGTGGTCAAAGGAGTGGCTGCTCCCCTTTAGTGTGCAGCGAAGTACAAAATAATGCACATCGGGAGCTGCAGCTCGAGGCTGACCTACTTCTTGGACGGCGCCGAAATCGCGGTCGAGTCCACCGATAAGGACCTCGGGATCTTCGTGGATTACTGGCTCCAGTTCCACGTGCAGACGGTGGAGGCGATCTCCAAGGCCAACCGGATGCTGGCGGTCGTGAGGCGGTCTTTTGCCAACATCGATACTCGCACGTTGCCATTGCTCTTTAAGATCTTAGTGCGTCCGTACTAAATACGGCAACGTCGATCTGGGGTCCGTTCGGCAAACGTGACCGGAAGCGGCTGGAACGGGTCCAGCGACGAGCTACCCGGCTTGTCTATGAAGTGAGGCGCCAGCCATACACTGAGAGGCTCAGACTCCTTCAGTTGCCCTCGCTGTACTATCGTCGTCGTAGGGGAGGCATGATAATAGTGTACCAGCTGTTTCACGGACGCATGTCGCTGTCGGAAGAGGAGTTCCTGACAAGGCACAACTCGGAGGTGACAAAGGGACACCAATGGAAGATCAGAAAACCTCGAGGTAGGACTCTCGTCCGTCGTAACTCATTCAGCACGCGGGTTGCCACCGATTGGAACGCTCTTCCACACCCGATCGTGTCGCCGACCTCAGTTGAACAGCTTCAAGTCTAGGCTTGATATGTGCTGGGCTGACATCATGTATGACATCCCACACTGAATCTTCCCATAATTTGAGACTGTTTGGTTACCGGACCGGGAGCCTGACGAGACTAGGACCTACAGGCCTAGTGACCTTTTATGATTCCCGATCGCCACAAGGGAGGGAAGGGATGTCAGGCAAATTCACTCATTTTCCATTAACTCCAGATTTGTATTCCTCACCTCATATTACGACAGTAGCTTAAGCGGTATGTATGCCTAGCCAATTGCCTCCTCCTTGAACGACAGAGACGATTGCAAACGTAAGAGCGTTGTGAGATTGATGGGGAGGGGAAACGTGCGCGGTTGGTGTGTGATGTATAGACGCTGGCTGATCATGACTAAATAACGGTGTAAAAACATCATTTGCTTCTTTCATTGCAAACACGCTGTTAGAATAACTACTTTCCGATATAATTGATGTACATGGGCAAACAGGTCGCCATCATTATTCGCGCTGCCGGTTCCCGCTGTCCTATAGAAATCATCAGAATTTGAATGGTAGTCCTGGTGCTCTCTTATTGAATGCCACCCACGCGTAATGAATTCATGACGCAGATTTATGTCATGAGGTTGGGCAATGGCTGATGCGCGCCGATAGGCCAGTAGCCTCATTGCAATGGAGGCCTGCGTTTTGCATTCCCTGAATGGGCAATAACCATTGACTATAATACAAACATCAAACAGTGCCATTATTTGTAGGCAGGTTTGTTACTTCAGCAGGCTAGGTAGATTGTTGGCATTTTGGGTTTTTATCTTGAGCATTGGCTTAAACTGGCATGAGCTTGGGGGCTGGACATGACTGAAAAATGCATGGTACTCTTGAACATGTCAGGTGCTGCCAGCAACCACAATGCAGCAAAAATTTCAGAGCATGTGCTGTTACTCTAGGTACTTGGAGTTCTGTGCACCTTTAAAACACACCAAGTTACATTGAGAGACAAGGTTTTAGAGGGATGATGGTAAAAAGTTAATTTGAATTCACATATACTGAGATGCTCATCATGTGTTTTGCATGCCAAATATGCTGAATATATTGCAATTAGGTCTGGCCCAAGCTTGGTGCACAGAAGGGCAAGATTCAGCACACTGATGTATCATATAATCCTGTACACCTGATGGATTATCTGCACTATTAGGTGATGGGAGCAACTGTGAGATGTACTTCATTATGTACAAATTTCTTTCAGAATCTTTGCACCTACTGGAACGAAATGTCTGAATCTCAAGATTCAGTAGAAGCAAGTGGAAGAATGAAGGTTAGTAAAGTCAAGATGCTTCATACTGGTAGTGCCAGATGTGTCAGATATGAAAAGAGATCTAAATTAAGGAAATAATGTACAAGAATAGCTTCCAATAGATCAGAATGTCATAAATCTTGAAAAATTGGTAATTCATATTTGATCCTTAGTAGCTTTATTTCAGATGGTATCCCATCACAGGATGTGCATATAAATGTTATTGTTTGAATTGTTTTGATTGCAGATGTGTGATTAAGATATATGGTGCCAACATGCCAATGTCTGCCATTAATTTCTCCCTAGAATAAGTAGCATATGTAACTAATGCTGCTTGTAAGAAAATGTGATGATGTGCATTACCTTGTGAAAGCCCATGAACTATTAAATGCTGCATTCTAACCTTGTTTTATGCTTTCAGGGAATAGCTATAGTGAAGCCTATTGTTTACTGGTAACTTGGCACGGCCATTTGGCAAAAAACGGGAAGAAGATGGACACACCCACGAGTGGACTGTATATGCCAAGCCATACAAGTGAGTCATTCAGTTAATGTGTTTTATTTGGTGCAGGTGAATCATGGATAGACAGCATTCCAAAATTCATCATGTATGGTGTGCAGGATGTAAGTGTAAAGTCATGCTGCCAGACTCTTGGCTCTCCACCAGCCAGCACACAATTTGTTGGCACTAATATGCTGTCCTTTGACCCAAACACAGACATCTGACCTGCCCAGACCACTTGTCAAGTCTGAGGCTCTTATATACTATATTGACAGCCACCTGGTTCCATGGTGATCAGCCTATTTTGAGCAAGTGGAGGGGCAATAGGCGGTGAGCTCCAAGCTGCAGTGTAAAAGTATGAAAAATACTGAGATCCATGCCACCCAAGGGGCTGAATATCAGAACACTGGAGAGGGGCATGACAACTGCATATTTTATGTCATGTGTCTGTATTTCAGATGGCCACAAAGTCCAACAATATTTTCTCACCTCGGTCTCAATTTTGCTGGCTAGTGACTGCCAACTTCTGTTGAACCTGGCATGAATGTGGCTCACAAATTAATGAAAAACATGTTGTTATACCCACAGAAATGAAGATATGTCTGTATATGTGAAGAAAGTACAGTTCAAGTTGCATGACAGCTATCCAAATGCCACCCGGGTGGTCTCAAAGCCACCATATGAGGTTACTGAGACAGGCTGGGGAGAGTTTGAGGTCGTCATCAAGATATACTTTGAGGACCCCAATGAGCGACCGGTAAGGTAATCATGGATAACCCATCTGCATCAGAAATGTTTGCATTCCACATGACAGAGGTTGATTATGTTGTGGTTCTGTGTGAACAAAGGTAGTTACTGGCCTACAGTGAACCAACAGACACTCAGTTGACAACATATGATGTCAATTCTTGATATTGTCTAATGATTAAAACAGTTAAACATGGCTTCCATGTTTGAGCATTGAGAGGCCTCCTTGATATATTCCTAAGTACATTTTGGAATCACACTGCCCAAGAATGAAAGCCAGTGGAAAGCATGGCTGCCATGAGTGTGACTGGCTGATGGTGACTCCTGCTGCTGTGGCCCAGGTGACGCTGTACCACGTGCTGAAGCTGTTCCCGTCGAGCGGCGCGCCGGCGCCGGTGGTGGTCGGCCCTGCCAAGACGCTCGTCTGCGAGTACTACGACGAGATCATCTTCCAGGACCCCTCGCTGATGATGCAGCAACTGCTCACCGCCACTCGGCAGATCACGCTCGGGCCGTACAAGCACGAGACTGACTGTGAGTTACAGCACACTCGGCAGCGTGGAACGTGGGCTCTTGCGACATCAATGCTATGTGGTGCTGTGTTGTGTGGGGACGCGTCTGTGTGTTTTTCTGGAATGGTTGAGACTGTCCTCATGGGTGATGTGTCTTGTCCTGTTTTTAGCTATGGCATTATGCAGGCATGCTAATGCTTTTTCTCAAGGCATTTGTAGGCATGCTACGTTTTATTGGCAGTGGTGCGGCCACACTGAATTTTGTGTGGCTGTAGGCATGTAAATAGCAGATCATTTTGTATAAAAAATTAAGATGTACCTTGTGAGGTCACTGGCCTGAGGCAGGTCAAAGCCAAGCCATGGATTCAATGAAGACAATTTTTAAAGAATTGGTTGATCTGATGCAAGAACAGTGTTAGGTGAGGCCATACATCTTTGATAGTTTCCCAGGCAACACAACAGTTGTATTAACAAATTGCATTGACCTAGGATCATTTATGAAGGTGCTCATTTTTAATTTTTTCCATAACAGGGGCCTCATCATGCATCTTCCAGGGACTTCTGAAATGTCAGAGTGCATCAATGACCTAAACTGACTTAGGTCAGTATTTGTTTTCAGGAAGACACTGCCTGTTGTAATTGTTGATATTTATTTAATTGCAGAATCAAAGCAGTCTTCTTTGAATCTGTTTACCATGACCTTTGAAAGGCCACACAAGGTCGCTGGCATTAAATGAGCAACAGTGACATTTTGCTTAGAATGGGTATCTAGGTTCATGGTTGGGCGCTGCATGACCTACAGCAGTTGATACGCCCTAAAACCCCAAATTGTCATCATCATCATAGGTTCATGGTTGCATGAGATGGAATGGGGGCACTTTTGACAACATTTAGTAGTTTGACCTTGTTTGACCTTATTTGACCGAAGGTAATGACCGAGGAACCTCAAATTTTGGCGCAGGTGAGTTCACGTATAGGCCAACACACTCTGCGAGTGTAGCGTTTCTAGCTCTCCTTAGTGTCTGAGATCTCAGTGGGTCAAATTTACCCCGTACCCGAACGAATGGTAGAGGGTAAATTGGGGTAGGGTTCCACCAGCTACCTGGGCGCCTGTTGATAAGTTAAGGGCCGAAGTGCTTTTGTGGTATAACTTGTCCTTATCCACGGGTGTGCTCAACTCTGCAGGCTACAGGCTAGATCGGTTGGTATTCCTCGCTAAAAATTGTCCCATTTCATTCTTTTCATTCGCAACTCGACTGCGTTCTCAGCCCTACGTCCTCCGGCAAACCTGCTCTGTTCGCCACTGCTGGTCGCATTGTGCCCATGCGACCCTTCCGTCTGTTCGCATAATCTGTCGGACGGGATGTTTTGGAGTCCAATCTGTCTGTTTTGCACCATAGGCTCAATGCCGTTTGTTTATTTATGGTGGTATTATTGCCCACCTATGTATGGCCGCCAGTCATTCGTACCCGAACCAGATGCGGACGGTACTGGACTGTCCAGCCGTTCATCGTCGGGTGATGAGGCGTCAGCTACACACGTGACAAGGCCGGTGTTATCAGAACTCGTGACTTTTCCAGTCGAGGAGAAACGAGCGAAGACGGAGGCGGCGGTGGCGAACGCGAAAGGCAAGGTGAAGTTGGAGATCGAAGACCTCAGAGACAAGCTAAAGCTCGCCAAAGAAACGATTGTACGCTTCCGGCTGGAGATAGAGAAGGTCCAAGCGCTTCATTGACAGGCTGTGTAGTGTGTTTAGGTATCGATGAACCCAACGTGGGAGACTGTAAAACACCATCGTCATATTTGATGTGTTCATTTGTGTATGTGCATAGGAATTTTGTAAAATATATCTAAATTTGGTAACGTTTTTTTCCGTCGTACGGATCTTTGATCTCAGATTTTACCATTTTTGGATTGCTGACATCTTGTTCATGTCCCCCATCTGTTTTGTGATTTAGTTACGCCCTGAGGTAGTCCATGAAAATTGCACTTTCCGCCCCGCTGGTGTGCGAGCTTTCGGAGACCACCTGAGACCTGCAGCGTGGTCCGCCGCTCCCGCGGCATCAGGGCTAGCCGACGCGACCGCAGAAAACCGTTGCAATACTAGCTAGTACGCGAAATATGTATTCCGCTCTGTCATGGTGTATACCTCCACGGTGTGGGCACACTCGTGTCCAGCGCGCCAATGGTACTTCAATATGCGATACAGTCGTTAGGAAATTACGCCTGGCCACATCCATCTTGAGAAAATACGCGGAAACACGCAACAGTGTATACAAAACAAACAATATCCTGGAAGACTTGCTGAGCAACATTCCAGCCCAAATTCAGGTCCTGACCGAGTTTAGCGCATGGATGAAGAGTGATATCACCAGTGAGGTGGTGGCCTCCGGAATGTGTGGACGCATCCACTGCACCTACAAAAACACCGGCCACTGCCGCGCTCGTTCCGCTGCGGCGTGTTGAGCACAGCAAACCGTGCAAACGTGACAGGAACACGACACGCACCCTTGCACCGCAGTTAGCGAAATGTGTGCGTTACTCCTGCGACAGTGCTATAGCCTTATACCAGTATAACCCTAAAACAGCCGAGGCTGCTCGCAAATCTCCCTGCAAAAACGGTACACACACACAATGCGACCACTGGACGGAGTCGGTTGCGTTCGATAATCACAGGTTTTCGATAATCGTTGGGAATTGGTCAGTTTGAATAACAGTCAGCATTTCACAGAAAGCCAAGCACCGTTACGCTGTACGACATTGGCGCTGTGAGGTTACCCTTCGACCCGCCCCTCCTGGCAGTCCGTGGAGAGGCCCTTGCCGATCCTAGCGGGCATGCCAGTATTGATAGACTCCACTTCAACAAAACACAAAACGGCGCTGAGCTCCTTATTTCTCAGCACCACCCATTTGGAGTGTTGTGCTGACAATAAGCGGCCTTCGATACACCAGGAACTATTGCTTGAACATTACCAAGTAAATATTGGTCAAATTCTAAAAACCTCTTCTGACGAGCTTTTGAGTCCATTTTGCTGACACCGCAAGCATTGAGAGCTTCTTACTCAGAGCGTTGGTCGCTTTCTTCACGGTACAAAAACTTGTCAAATGGCTACATACGAATGATTACTATAACGCACTCTGTCCTGCATATTCTTCACCAATTGCACTTCTTTTCGTGACCTCCTCCAGCCGCGCACACGGCCGTCACAACGTCCAGCCCGCGTCGGTACCCGCAAGAGAGTGCGCCGGCCCCCTACCGGCGGTCCTCGGGCTGGTGGAACTTGTGGCGCGCGTCCACAATGACGCGGAAGGGCCGGGCGTGGCGCTGCACCTCGGTCAGCGTCAGCGCACCGTCGCCGTCGGCGTCGGCCAGCTGCAGCAGGCGGCGCGCGTCGCTCGTGGCGTGGTAGCCGTGCCGCGGGTCAACAAACACCTGCGCAGGGTTGGAGGTCGCGTCAGGTCGGAGCGGGTGCCGGGGGAGCTGGCCGCGGCCCAGGGGCGGCGTGGGGCACGATGGGTCGGGAATGGGAATGATCGGAGTGACGGGAGGTCGGGTCAGGTCGGAGCGGGTGCGGGGGAGCTGGCCGCGGCCCAGGGACGGCGTGGGGGTGCGATGGGCCGAGAATGGGAATGATCGGGGTGACGGGAGGTCGGGTCAGGTCGGAGCGGGTGCCGGGGGAGTCGGCCGCGACACAGGGACGGCGTGGGGCACGATGGGCCGAGAATGGGAATGATCGGGGTGACGGGAGGTCGGGTCAGGTCGGAGCGGGTGCCGGGGGAGCTGGCCGCGGCCCAGGGACGGCGTGGGGCACGATGGGCCGAGAATGGGAATGCTCGGGGTGACGGGAGGTCGGGTCAGGTCGGAGCGGGTGCCGGGGGAGCTGGCCGCGACACGGACGGCGTGGGGCACGATGGGCCGAGAATGGGAATGCTCGGGGTGACGGGAGGTCGGGTCAGGTCGGAGCGGGCGCCGGGGGAGTCGGCCGCGGCCCAGGGACGGCGTGGGGCACGATGGGCCGGGAATGGGAATGCTCGGGGTGACGGGAGGTCGGGTCAGGTCGGAGCGGGTGCCAGGGGAGCTGGCCGCGGCCCAGGGACGGCGTGGGGCACGATGGGCCGAGAATGGGAATGATCGGGGTGACGGGAGGTCGGGTCAGGTCGGAGCGGGCGCCGGGGGAGTCGGCCGCGGCCCAGGGACGGCGTGGGGCACGATGGGCCGAGAATGGGAATGATCGGGGTGACGGGAGGTCGGGTCAGGTCGGAGCGGGTGCCCGGGGAGCTGGCCGCGGCCCAGGGACGGCGTGGGGCACGATGGGCCGGGAATGGGAATGCTCGGGGTGACGGGAGGTCGGGTCAGGTCGGAGCGGGTGCCGGGGGAGTCGGCCGCGGCCCAGGGACGGCGTGGGGCACGATGGGCCGAGAATGGGAATGCTCGGGGTGACGGGAGGTCGGGTCAGGTCGGAGTGGGTGCCGGGGGAGTCGGCCGCGGCCCAGGGACGGCGTGGGGCACGATGGGCCGGGAATGGGAATGCTCGGGGTGACGGGAGGTCGGGTCAGGTCGGAGCGGGTGCCGGGGGAGTCGGCCGCGGCCCAGGGACGGCGTGGGGCACGATGGGCCGGGAATGGGAATGCTCGGGGTGACGGGAGGTCGGGTCAGGTCGGAGCGGGTGCCGGGGGAGTCGGCCGCGGCCCAGGGACGGCGTGGGGCACGATGGGCCGGGAATGGGAATGCTCGGGGTGACGGGAAGGAAAAAACTTTGCAACGGGTGCGGTCACCTTGCTACACAGTACACTTAATTGGCGACTAATGCATGTGTGACATGTGCACGAATTTAGTGGTGGATATATTTGGCAGCGCAACAGAGACTTGCATTAACAATGCATACCTGGACCTGCTCTGTCGAATCTTAACATGGCTGTGCCACAGACTAGGTCTTCCCAATGACATATCATAAATCGCTTCAAAAATGTGACCATGAGCGTACAACATGAATAAAATAAAGGGAAAAGGGCGACATCTAAACATGATCAGACTTCAGCAGGCCTCTGATCTACGTGGCCACCTTCCCGAGACGGCTGCGCTCGACTGGACGCCGCGCTTGACAATATGACCGGTAAATCAGAGCACAAAACCTTCGGCTGGCGTCGGGATACACTCCTCTTCATGCGGCACAACGCTTTTACATTCGCTTTAAATTTGAGCTGCTATTACAACGAGGTAAATTTACATCATGCCAGTGATCCAGGGTACAGCTGTGATGTACCTTTCGCTCGGCTACCACCGCGGCTTTACGACGCGATCAGCTGCTGAGGTTATATGGCATCGCCTACCTCTTACCCTGGCAGGAAGGTACCTTATATCTCTTGGCTTCTCAGATGCGCAGCTAACCACTATTTTACCCGCATTTCCACTTGCGGCGCTTGAACACCCGACTGACCAGAATCTCGTGCTGGTCCAGCTGCTTATCGGGGTTCAGGTCGAGCTGCGTGTGGAGCGCCTTCATCTGCTGTTTCGACTTGACAGGAAACAGGGCCGTCTCCTCGTCCGACGGCCGGTAGGCGGGGTCGCACAGGAGCAGCAGCTCCTCCTCCGACAGCGCGCCATCGCCGTCCTGGTCTGTCAGCACGCGGCAGCAAGCCCGGTCAGAATAGGACCGATCCTCCCCGGCTAGCGCCCACACAGTTCCCGCCGGGGTCTCACAGCAGTACCACAGCCCACCATGGCTTGAGGACGCAGTGTATCAGCACAACAGCTGGAGGGGGTAATTGTTTCCAACATTCAAATGATGTTAACTTTTAACCAGATTTCAAATCACAGAACTGGGACCACATCATGCATTTCTTTTTTCGCAGCCCACCATGCGGTAGGCAGATAAAAAATCGCGCTCATTTGGAACTGTTCCTTAAGAAACTGGCCACTGATCTAACGGTGCGGTAGTTAGCCATGTGTGAACTTGATGTCTGATCTGGAGGCCTACTGGCCAGACACTTGTTATCGATCAGAGAGCAAACAAGCCGGCAGAAAATTACGTGGAGCTGTGTGTCATCCCAAAACACACTTTACCCTTTTATTGAAGAAGATTTTCTGCGTACCAGAACCATGGCGTGGATGGGACTTCACCCAGGATGGCACTAAAACGCGTCACGACGGGCATTTAAGCCAAGTGGGCCTAATGTGTGGGCCCCTTGCAACCAACGCTTTGAAACGACGCGCAAGGAGCACAGCGAGCATTGCTGGGACCTGTGTCCGGTGACCACAGGCGTCCGAGGTCCGGAACACGAAGACCCCGATGGCGGCAGCACCCAGGGGCGCTCGCCCCGGTAGTTACCGAGCGTGTCGATCAGTTGGGAGCACAGTGCCCCCGATGGCGGCAGCACCCAGGGGCGCTCGTCCCGGTAGTTACGGAGCGTGTCGATCAGTTGGGAGCACAGTGCCCCCGATGGCGGCAGCACCCAGGGGCGCTCGTCCCGGTAGTTACCGAGCGTGTCGATCAGTTGGGAGCACAGTGCCCCCGATGGCGGCAGCACCCAGGGGCGCTCGTCCCGGTAGTTACCGAGCGTGTCGATCAGTTGGGAGCACAGTGCCCCCGATGGCGGCAGCACCCAGGGGCGCTCGTCCCGGTAGTTACCGAGCGTGTCGATCAGTTGGGTGACCCGCTCCAGAATCATCGCGTGACTGGATTCCGGGTGGCGAAACCTCAGCAGCTCGTCGATCGTAAGCCGGTTTTGCTCGTTGGCGATCTCGAAGAATTCGGCCTTTTCCCGCATCAGCTGCTCTGAAAGAGGCAGGGTACCGCATGTACGCGGAGAGAGGCTCCGGTGTGGCCGTAGCCCCCCGCATGGGCCGGCTCACCACAGAGCAGTGGGACCGTATCGATATTCACAGGCGTGTGCAAAATAGTGGAAATGAAACCAAACCGCGCCAGAGCAAACCGATGATCTGGGCGGAGGGGTAAACCGCGAAGATCGGAGTTCACGGGAGGCGCAAGGGTCGCGGAAGACAACTTCCTCTGGTACCCTCCACTGGTGACAGCGCCGACTTAAAACTTCCCATGACTGAGCCAAAGGGGGCCTGCTATTCTGCATGCTGTTGGCTACACCATCGTATTTGCCGTTACGGCCGTCAGTTCCCAGGCCATGCATATTTTGATATCCCATAAGGAATCCCAATACATGCATTTGAGTGCATGCACACAGCAACAAAAATTCCTGACATCCTTTTCATTTACAGCAAGGCTGCATTTTTGCAATATCTCCTCAGATTCTGCGCTCAAACATTTAAAAAAATAGCATGCTCACCAGAAAGTAGTATGCCCAAATATACCATGTTCATGGTTAGCAACGTACCTTTGACCTCGCGTTTCAGTTCCTTTTCGGTCTTGGCACCCCGAGATGACAGGAAGAGTGCCACGTATTCAGCCAGGCTGACCCACCCTGCGGAAACGTGCGACACAATAAATCACCACAGCCAAGGAATATCACGTATTGGCAATGCATGCGTGCATAACATGTCTACTAGCGGACAAGAGCTCCAGAGCAACGGTGGAATACATCCACCAGATAAGATTGTTGACCACAAAATCGCAAATAAACAAGTATGATACTGATCAGGGAAGAAGTATAAGTTATGATGCAAGTTCCAAGCATTTGCGGGACGGTGGAACTAGTGACTAATCTAAATGTGATGCAACGACAGGATGAAATACCCAACATCGGAAAACCCGACGGACAAGACAACGTGGCAAACAAAAAATGTCGGTCACGTTAAGTGCTTTGCCAAGTTTCATAATTCATTAGTGACATTTTTTGTGTTTGAGCATACAAAAGTGCTGTCGATGAAATCGGGGCAAAAGAAGCATTTCCTACAACATATCTGATTCCGGACACCCGAAATGTCTGGAATCGTGCCAGTGCCATCATGCAGAAACAGTGTCAGAATGATTCAAACCACCTCTAATCTAGCCGCACTACTGACTGACCCATCATGCCAGCTCTATGCTGCATTCCACACCTGAGCGGGTGCGGCGCGCCAGGGTGTCACGCGGACTGCGAGGGTGTCACGCGGACTATCGCCCAGCATGGAAGTAACGACCATGTATGCAAGATCTTGCATTCCATCATGATACCAACAGTGAGGCTGATAACAAGATAAATAATAAACATTGTGTTTCCATTCCAAACTGGAGTCAATGTTCATTTCCAAGTACTTTACTTTCTCTGCCTCCATAATGGGAATATCATGGTGATATGTAACTTGTGTGTAGCACAGGGCTTGCTGTATAATTCAGAGAATGTTTTCTGAGCATTCAGGGCCTGTTTAATTATTTGCAGCTGTTTGGAGATGTCAGACAGTTATTGGCCAATTTAAGTTAGGATTTATGCATTTCATCGGCTTTAAATGAGGCATCCACAGAAAATGGTGAAGACATCAATTAATGGACTGGTTTAACACAGCCATCACATTTGAATACCACAAATTCACACTGTTCATGAATGCATTCAGTCTACCTGGTGTGTCGACTCTTACACCACTCACTTCAAAGACAAAAACCTTATCAATGCAAATCATACACCACTCTGCTCCTGGCTCAGCAGCCAGGGCTTAGCTTATCATTACTAAATTGTGTCTCTATATGTCTTCAGTTGCTCCCCCACACAAGCACAAGCATCACATTATATAGCTGGTGTTTTTAGCCATCATATGCATTAAACTGTTGGATGGTATGTGCACTAATTATTTTGATTCATCATTTATAAGTGAGGATTGCATGTGGTCATCTGACAGTAAGAGAACTTACACTTGAGTGCTAGCAGCTGACATGGACAATTTTTGTGGGAGGAAATATTAAGTGATATAAAAATTACTTAAGTGCCAGTCACACTTGCCTGCATTGCATTGTTGGTCAAGCAAGAAGCATATATCTGGGGTGCTGGACAGTGAAATGCCATATTGCAATTCCTCACATCTTTCACTTACCATCTTTGGGATTTTTGTCAAGTTTCAGGAAGACTTTGAAGTTCTCTTTCACTCCCACTGTAATATGTTCAGATACCTTGGTTTGAATCCAGTCAGCCAATTCTTGCTCCTCCAGATACCCATCATTATTATCATCTGATCTGAAAATAACAGCAGTAATATATTCACATGTCAGTGAAAGAGATGGGTAACAACAGAGCATACCAAAGTTGACAATATATATATATATATATATATATATATATATATATATATATATATGCATGGCTGTATACAATGTTAGTATGAACACTTTTTTGGTCCAGTTCTTCATGAGCTCCTGTAGGGACAAGATCAGAAGTTAGACTCTGTTGACAGACTTCATGGCATGGGTGTGATGACCCAATGAATAAATAACATCTGTTGCCAGCTTATTGGGTGCTGAAGACCAATTTTCTTGAACCACTGAAATGTTTCATATTTTCTCCAATCTTGATAACATTTTCATGTCAGTTTGTACCCACAGGCTTCCAGGTTGAGCTCAACAACCTTAATTTGTTGGTTGTGCCACCCCCATAATATAAGAGATGCTTGCACTTATGTTATAACCAACACTATAAAAGTGCTTACTTTTCAATATCAGATGGTTGCACTTAAACTATTACCAACACCATAGAAGTGCTTACTTTTCAAATGCTATCTTAAGCTGCTCATTCAGAGTTCCATCACCCCTGATCTTGACCATTCCTACTTCTTCCTCATTCATGTATCTTGGCAGACCTTTCACCCCGTCATTCTTGCTGGTTGCCGACCTGAACAGCATCGACGCTATGAACAGCATCACTACCGTGACGTATACTACGAAAATGATGTACAAAATAAACACTCGTCTGCTTTTCATGGCAGCCATCGCTTGGTACTGATTATGTTGAGTTTCCTTCACGCTGATCACAAGTGACGTACTTTCCATGCCAGCGGAGACCGAAAGGGATACGTTCACCCTTGCACGGCCTTGGTATAGGCCAAGCCAAAACCTGATTGCGTGCCAAGTGTAACCTTTGCGCCGCATTTGAAGCGTGTGATTATGACCTTGAGACGGGTGTGGACTAAATGACGGATGAAACGTTTTGACAATATCATACCCGAGCCAACGTGATTAAATGCCATGAAACCTCTCCAACTCGATGCAGCCAAATTGATATATTCTCTTTTCAAACCACAGTGACCATATATTTCATCAAAAAACTCCCAAAATGCTTAAAACAGTAGAAATCAGCTGCCGTATCTTTTCCAGAGTATTGTGACCTAGGGTCAGGTAAAAAGTCACCAAAACACCGGTCACCACTGAACCTTCACTGAATGATGCATTATGGTCGATATCCTACCTTTACTTGAACGTGATGGTCTTGCACCAGGACAGGGCCATCAAAAAAACCCGAAGCTACCGACCATGCGGACCGCTCAGCTCAGAGCTTCGGCCTATCGCGAAACCTTTCCGAAGTGACCAGAAATCTGATGAGACCGCCCATGTCATAGAGGAGGGAGAGAGAGAGGGAAGAAGGAGAAGTCCTTTCCGTCCTACTCGCGACACAACTTCACCCAATGTATTATATATATATACAATTATATATAATATATATATATATATATATATATATATATATATATATATATATATATACATCACCCTTTCAAGAACATGTAGACCTTTAAATTAGCTGCTGCAAACTCATTGATCCGGGCTTATGGAACAGATCGCAAGCAGCCAAAACTGGCGGCAGACGACCTTGTATTCTGAGACATAATTGCCATAAAACCTTGGCCGATGATGAATTATGGTCGACGTTCTACTTTCTCTCGAAACTGAGCCACCTAAAACCAAGGTAAATGTCACTAGCAGCTCCCAAAAACTAAAATACCCTTATTGATGTAATGCCCTCAAAGTTCAGCGTCTGAACTGCTTAATATCACAGACGATGCAAGCTCCAATTTCTGGGAAAATCAACCCGATACCAGAGGTGTAGTTTCCTATTCAGTTGAGAAGGCTTTAGACTCCCAACCATGGCCCCAGCCCCTCCCCCTCCCAACTTTTGCAAGGAATTAGGCAAAACCTGGGAAGAAACTTGTTAATTGACACATATTGGTGGTTAATTAGTTACTCTCACTGTTTACCCCCCGCCCCCCCAAAAAAAATTGTTTTGTGAAATTTTGCACCTGCCGGATACGGAGATTTATATCGTCATAAGACAAGAATACCAGTAAAATGTCTCCAAAGATGAAAGCGCCCAGTTGCTTTAAGGTTAGGCATCTTCCAGTTTAAAACTTCCTTTTTTCCTGAAATGTGTGAGAACAACGCTGCGCGGGAACTGCCCGGGTGGACCCACTTGACCGGCCGTACACCAACTAGGCTTGGCCGAGGAACGACACACCCCGGAAGGTGCCCGGCCGTAGGGGAACGAATCACCCTGAACGTTGCTCGGGTAGACCCATGCGGCCGAGTTGCCGCGGACCGGCCCCGACTCGAGCCCGATCCCTCCACATGGCAGCGACTGTCTCCAGACCAAGACTATTGACTTCAGCTCGGCTGCAGCTCGTGGAGCGTGAGGTGGTGACGGAAGCGTGATGAGAGCCGCATGGCCGCGTCGCAACGCCGCTCCCCGCGAGCACGACGGATACACTACAGGCATCGCAACCACCGGAGGCGCGACGGATACACTACAGGCATCGCAACCACCGGAGGCGCGACGGATACACCACAGGCATCGCAACCACCGGAGGCGCGACGGATACGCTACAGGCATCGCAACTACTGGGGACGCGACAGATACACTACAGTCATCGCAACCACTGGGGACGCGACGGATACACTGCAGACATCGCAACCACTGGGGCGCAACGGATACACTACAGGCATCGCAACCACTGGGGACGCGACGGATACACTACAGGCATCGCAACCACTGGGGACGCGACGGATACACTGCAGGCATCGCACCACCGGAGGCGCGACGGATACACTGCAGGCATCGCACCACCGGAGGAGCGACGGATACACTGCAGGCATCGCAACCACCGGGGGCGCCGTGTGAGCGAACCGCCCACTAGTGAGCAGCGGCAGCAACCACTGGGGATTGGCTCGGGTATTGCCCACCACCACCGGGGATTGGCTCGGGTATTGCCCACCACGGCAGAGTGCCAGCGGTCCGCCGAGCAGACTGAAGCTCCACATGCGGACTGATGCCGACGCCGATGTCCGTCGACGTCGACAGCGCGGTACTCAAGGCTGGCGGGCCGGATGAAGCGGTGATCTGCACAAATACGGCGTCCAATTTAAAGTCATTTTACTTGCGCGCGGAGCGTGTAACCTCACGGTAACGACGTCCTCGTGGGAGCGCTTTCGGCCGGCAACGTAAATTTCGCATCGGTAGGCATGATCATCTTTGTTTAAATCCTCCCTTAAAAGCGCAGAGCTTATGATATACATTTAACAAATTGAAATATTTACAATCAAACTAAAATGCTGAAAGTGTGTGCATTTGATAACACCGTCGCAGGGCTGCCAGTGCAACACACTTGCCATATTTTGGTTTCGATTTTGTTCGATCGGTTGGCCGATAACGTATCACCGAATGCTCGCGGGCCGGCTGGAGCGGTAAGTTGTACAGATACGGCGTCACATTAAAAACGCTTCTACTTTTGGGCGGAAATTGCAACAGCATATTTGACATTATTGTGAGACCACTATCGGCCGACAACGTAAGATGTTGTAGCGGCAGACATTTGTTGACATTCCTCTCTATAGCGCAGAGTTTGCAACGGCTGGCCTGCACATAACGTGATGGCTACTATACGGCGCCCTGGGATAATACTTAAAACCAAACTCAAAGATTGCGAATGTCCGCATGCCATACCACTGGTGTAAGCTTATAAGCTGTCAGTACAACCCACCGGCCAGGTTTTGGCTTCCATTTCAATCGGTCAAACCCCGAGAGTGTATAACTCTGTGCTGACAGGCAGGCTGGAGCGAGATTTTCACAAATAAGGCGGCCAATTTAATAAACTTTTATCTGTGCACGAAAGGTGTAACCTTGCGCTGGCGTATTTTTTTTTTTAGTGAACAAACGGGCATACGGACTGACATTCTGAAAATCGTAATGTTAATGTGACGATATTCCCCACTAAGAGGTATAAGCAAAAAGCTTGAAGTGAAATGATTGCATGACAGAACCATTTTTAATATCCGCTTCCCATCAATCTTAGCTACTTCGAAACACATGCAAAAACAAACAAAATCGAAATAGGGGCGGTTCTAATTGAAGACATTAAATATTACTCAAAGGTACTCAAAGGTATTACTTTGGGACAAAATGCAACTTTTTGTTTACGTTAAACAAAAATTCAGGATACTTGTGCTACCATTTCAACGTTCCACTTGCTTACGAAAACTTAAACGCAAATTTGCATGTCGCGGTTCGCCATTTGGCTCCTCTCCAATTTGCCATGTCGGTTTTGTAGGTACTGTCGTTCTACCATTCTCCATTCACCAAATTCGTCTCTTTGGAGCGTCAATACGTAGCATGTCACTATTCCGCAGTCAGCATTTAGCAATTGACAACAAAGCATTCGTCAAATGGCCCTTGGACTTTTTGTCCCAGAACTGAGCGACACCACTACAGAAACTCGTGATATAACGACAGCCAGGTACCGGCTCCAGTGTATTGGTCGGTAGCTTCTCGGTAGCCTCGGTAATTATTTTATTTTTTAAAATTATTTTTGCATTTTATTTATTAGTTATTATTTTATTTATATGTATCATTCATTATATATTCTAGTTATTATTTATTACATACTATATCTTGTTCATTATTTTATTTATTATTGTATTCGATATTTTTACCCTTTATTTTTGTATGACGGAGTCAGGTCAGAGCAAGGCTGACGGGAGAAGATACACTCGCGTTCCGTTCTGAGCTGTCAATTCGGACAGGTGGCCAGCCACATGTCGCGGTTGCAAAGGAGATGCGTTTTTTCTCGGTCTGATGACCTCAAGACACTACTAAAGCACTACACTTAAGAAGTGTTACGACAGCACGAATGCATCGGCCGGAGGCGAGCTAAGTGAACAACAGCTGCTCGCAGGGCACTTTCTGAGGTCTACATCTATGAAATGCCCTGGAGCGATGAACAACGGAGCCAGTACGCGCCGGCCATGGGCTGTGCCACAATATCACTCTCGTGTATGTACGTATGTACGCATCGCGTGCAAAGCGTTCGTATGACCGCTGGGATAACGGACGCATACCGGCTCTGCTGTTCATTGCTCCAGGGGATTTCATAGATGCAGACCTTGGAAAGGAACGTGCGAGCAGCTGTTGTTCCCTCAGCTCGCCTCCAGTCGATGCATTCGTGCTGTCGTGACACCACTAAAAGATGGTAGCGTCACTGAGGTCATCAGATCGAGAAAAAAACACATCCCCTTTGCAACCACGCCCTGTGGCCAGCCGCCTGTCCGAATTGACAGCTCAGAACGGAACGCAGTTATCTTTTCTTCTCCCGTCAGCTCTATTCTGACCTGACTCCGTCCCACAAAAATGAACAGTATTAAATGTTGGGGCCACTTAGTGGCCACAGACCGCGCAATGGATTAGATCCACAATTGTTGTCACATCACGAGGTTTTGCAGGGGCTCTCGCGGTTCTAGGACAAAAATTCGAAAGCCCATTTGACGAATGCCTTTCTGTCGATTGCCAGATGTCGACTGCAGCATAGTGACATGTAAAATGTTGGCGCGCCAGAAAGATGACTTTGGTAAATGGAGAACCGTAAAAAGACGAAATGTAAAATTTTCGATGTGACAAAATGGCGAAGGGCCAATTGGCGAACCACAAAATAGCGACATGCAAAGAAGTCAACAAACCTAAATTGGCGCCCGGCAAGATCGCGAATAACAACATGGCGGCGTAACAAGACGTGAGCGTGTCAAAACGGTGAA